TATATATATATATATATATATATATATATATATATATATAATGGCCAGAAGTTATTATATGAGCCTCCAGTTACTTCTAATATGTCTGATAATTTGAGTACCATCTCCTTAAGACTCACACTGGCAGGGAGATTTGAACCCCCGACCTAAGGGGTCTTATACCGAGGATGCCAGCCAACATGATGGGATAAGTTCAATAATGATATTTTTTAATATGATATGAAAATTTTGGGTTATACAAATATAAAAAGTTTAACAAAAAAAATTACTAAATTTGATCACAACAAAATATAAAATAAAAACTAAGGAAATTATTTATAAATAAATACATATTGGGGGTTTCATACCACAACATTCTCATAATCTAGATGTGAGAAATGAGGGCTCTGGTGAGCTTCTTGAAGCAATTGAAGATCATCATCCCAAACATCACGATAAGTCTCCAAATTCATTTGGGCATTTAGCAAAGATGACAAGCACAATTCTTTTCTCCATCCTTCCAAATGTGGAAAATCACATTTATCGCCATATTTGTCACAATACTGCCAGCAAAATATAATTAAAAAAATAGAATGATTTGTTGTATGGATAATGACAATAAATTGCACAAACATTGTGGGATTTACATTTATATCCATACCCCCCAATTCTTAAGTATTTACATGTCTTGACAAATAAACTTTATTTTATTTTTTTACATTTATACCACTCAAATCTTTCACATCACATAGAAAATACCACTGGTTTAACTTCGAAAAAGTTTTATACGTCTTTTCATGTATGAGTAAGATGACATATATGTAAAAATTGAAGTTTAGATGTTAGATACGTAAATACATATGCCCAAAAAAGATGTATTTGGCTTTTTAAAAGGTAAAAAGGTGGCATTTTGATGACATGTTAAAGATTCGTATGTTATAAATGTGAAAAAATAAAATAAAATAAAATATAGGTGTTAGATATGTAAATGCATAGTAATTGGGTGGTATGTATGCAAATTCCCCTATTTGCAAATATTAGCTTATAATTATAAAAAAAAAAAGGAAGATAAACCTCAAAATTGGCAATATCATGAGTATTATGCTTTGGTATTCCATCCATATCTCTAGAGTTGTAATACTCCTTGATAGCCTTCATCATCTCTTCACATGATGGAAGTGTCCTCCTCCTTGAGAGCACTTGAGCTATCCATTTTGCTTGTGATTCAAAGAATGGAAACCCAATGATCTACAACATCATTTAAGAATTAATAATGGAGTTCCTTGCAAATTATTAGTGTTGTTTAAGCTTTGAGATGCAATAAATATTCCATTTCATGTTATCATCTAAATGAAAAGATTAGAATGATAAAAAAATTAGAAGGTTTACATACATATCTTATTTCCAATGCATTTACATATATATCTAACACCTAAACTTTATTTTTTTGCATGTATATATGTTTACCTATGAATGAAAATGTGTATTTCATTTTTAAAATCTAAGAGGATGATATTTTTGATGTGATATAAAAGATAAAGATTTGGGCGGTATAAATGCAAAAAAAAGGTAAAACTTAGATATTAAATATGTAAATAAATTGAAAAAAAGGGGAAAACAAGATCTCACCTTCCTTGGAATGCCCACAAAAGATAGAGAAGGGGCGAGCGAGGGTGGGAATGTATGCTCATACAATGGGCCCACTCTATCATCATCAACATCCACTATTCCTTTGGTGTCAAGAAATTCCAAATAATAAGAATACCTTCAAAGAAAAAAAAAGGAAACAAATTTACAATCATTATTGTGATAGTCTTAGCTCTTATTTACAATAAAATAAAATAAAATAAAAAGCTTTCTAAAGCATTTTTGAGGATCCGTTTGGGGTGACGGCATAGTGGTGGTGCGACACCGCATCGCAGTTTTGTCTGTTTGAGTAAATTGCGTTTTGACTGTTTTTTTTTAAAAAGTTGTCGTTGAAATCAATGTTTTCCCACAACTCCTTGCTAGATGTGGTGAAAGCTTTCTAGCTACGGTCTGACTTAAAAAAAAAATATTGTGATAGTCGTTGCAGCTTTTTGAACATTAGATTATTATTTAGCAGTTTTACAGTTATTTTTTAATAAGTTGCAGTTGCCCCAAACAGACCCTAAGTTTATAAACTTTAATAATTTTTTTTTTGAAAAACAAGTTACATATTTTTTACTTCGAAACATCATGATGTACGAAACAAACAAAAACCCAAATAAATATAATCATTAACTTTATTAATTCATCAAGCAAAATGTGTAAAGAATATTATTTTGACATACCCCGTACAATATATGATCGTATCGGCAGTAATGACAGTGCCATCAACAAACATAACTCTTCCATCTTCATAAAGAGTATCTATCTGCAATCAACATATCAGTAATGATCAATACTAATTTTTTTTATGAAAAATTCTAGAAAATCATAGAAGTAATTGGATTGGATAATACCAAACCTGTGGTTTTAAGTGAAAATTTTGATATTTAGCAATTACTTTGCACAATCCTTGAAAAATTTCAAGGGATTTTGCACTGAGATGAACTTCTTTGGCAAAATTTACAAGCTCCATTGATATGTCCTGCCCACTCATTGAGTTCCCCACCATCACTACAACCTAAATTTTAATTTCATAAATTAATATGTTTGTTATGACTATTTTATTCTGATAATCACATACAGATCACCCGAAATATTAATATTTACAAATTAAAAATATGAGTTGAGTTTTTTTCATAAATTTTGACATTTGAGTGAGAATTTGAAGAGCGGATGAAATGGATGAAAGAAGATGGTTTTTGATTTGTAAATAGCAAGTTTTCGGTGCTTTGTATGTAATTGCTTATTTTATATAAAATCATAAAAAAAAAGAAAAATAAAGATTTTGTCAACATAAATTTTTCATAAATAAAAAAGAATTTTTTCAGGAAATTAAGAGAAAATCTTTCCTCTCACCTCATTGCTGAAGGGCTGAGGAACTCTATACACATGACTATGCAGCTGTCTCCTTCTCCATTCATCCATTCCTACACATCACAAACCAACCATTCAATTCCTATGTATTTACATATCCAACACCTTAACGTCAACTTTTACATACATACCATCTCACCTATGCATGAAAATGCCTATTTCTCTTTTCAAAACATAAAAATAGAAGTATTTTTCAAGGGAATTTATATATACAGCACCCAATTTTTATACATTTACCTATCTCACACCCAAACTTTCATTTTTACAAAGCAAAAACCAAACTTATCTTTCTCACCACTCCCCAACTGTGAAAACCACATTTTCATCCATAGGTAGGGTGCTGATTTTGCAAAAATGAGAATTTGGATGTTGTTTATGTAAATTTCATGTGATATGAAAGATTTGGATAGAATAAATGCAGAAGATAAAATTTAGCTGTTAGAAATGTAAATACAGAAGAGTTAGATTGCCTTCATGTAAATGCCCCATAAATTAAATATATAAAAAAAGCATTTTTATGATTTAAAATTGCAATTCAACAAAAATAAACAGAATAATAAAAATAAAAAAATAAAAAACTTAAGTTTAAACATTAAAATCTCCATACCTCTGATTACAGGCAATCTAGGCACAGAATAATGGCCATTAGCCACAACAACAGCATCAAATATCTCTTCTATCATAGCCCCATTCTCCATTTCTCTACTCCTAACTTTCCATCTAATTCCCTGATCACCAAACTCAAATGCAGAACCTTCAGCTATTCCCACATACTCTACTCTTGTATTAAACCTTATCATCTCCCTAAGCTGAAACCAGTTACAGAAATCATGGAGGTATAAAAACAACTCCTCATGGCCTGGAAATCTCCTCATATCTCTTCCTTTCCTTACAGTGAAAGGGAAGTCTGTAAACCCCATTATCTCTCTAGGAGAAGCTAGTCTTAGTGAGCTGTAAACACTGCTATGAATCTTCAATGGCTTCTTCTTCCCCATGGAGTCTTCATCTTCAACCTCTGGTTGGTACAACCATTGCCCTCCAATGTCATGGTTTTGCTCCAGAACTGATACACAATGGCCCTCTTTTCTCAGCTCTCTTGCTGAAACTAGACCTGAAGGTCCTGCTCCAATCACACAGACTCTTTTGGAGCTCAGATTTTCTGAAACCATGGCTGAATTCTTAGAGAATGTGTGGAGGGAGGGAGCTGAGTTGTGGGCTTCTTTAATAGAATGTTGAGTGTGCAGTGTATTTGCATATATCACAACTAAATTTATGTATTTGCATTTATCACACCTAAAATTAATTCATATTTACTTATGCAATGCTTGCTTGCTTTAGACTTATGCCTAAAAAATGTGTATTTCAATTTTAAAAGGTAGTAACAGTGTTGTTTTTTTATGTGATGTTGAAGATTTGAAAGGTACATCTATATATATGAAAGTTTAGATGTGATATATGTATATACATAATTTAGTGATATGTATGTATGTAAATGCCCCAAAACTTCTCTCTTAAAAATTGTTAAAGCTATCATAAATTGAATTATTAAATTAAAAATATAATTAATATTTGATTATCATTGGTATTTGAGTTTATTGTATGATATTAAAGAGTTAAGTAAAAATCTAGTTAGAGACTACAAGTGTCTCCCTTAGGAGCCATCATTTGATTATGCTGGTATTGGTCGTGTCGAACAAAAATACGGATAAATTCGAGTAGACTTCGAGTGAGCTTGTTTCGACTAGAAGTGATTGTTTCATTTCTTAATTACTGATATATGGCACATGTTATGTTATGAGTAGATTTTGGAGGTTAGATATGTAATTTTTTGATGTTGAGATGATATATGTGTATAATTTTATGTATTTTACTAAGAGAATCATGTGGGTGGCCTTCATTGGGGTTGCTTGAGATGAATGTTGTGATAATGTCATGTGACATAATTTTATGATTTTGTATAAAGTCTGATGTGAATTATTAGATGATATAATTTGCTTTATTATCATAGGGATGGGGGCTATGGGTAGTAGAAGAATAATGACTGCCTTTTCTTTTAGGTGCACCATTCTTGAAGCCAGGGGGAAACCATGCATGCAGGAGACAAGTAGAATGTGCAACTCATAATGAGAGGCTTTCCTCCATCAAACATAATGTGAGCCCTCATTCTTTTTTCATATCTTTGCCAAAAGTTTGGAGTGGTGGTCTAGAGAGAGAGAGAGAGAGAATGTCTCTGCCACTATCGCCGGCCTCTTTCCTGGAGACCGCTGACCATCGCCTAACTCCCACTCGCCACTATCGCCAACCTCCTTCCTGCCGCATCCACTGAATGTCATTGCGACCCCCTATAATACTTTGTATATTTTGAAATACAAAATTGTTTTTAATCTATTTCAAACCAAACAAAACAAAAATAAACATAAAGTCTTACGTTTATCTTACAGTGAATCAAACAACTTCAAAGTATTCTAAATACAATATGTCATATTTTTAACAAATCAAACGTCCTTTAAATATTTTTTAATTGAGTTCATTAAATAATTACATGCTTAAAGAGCATGTTTTGATATGATTGTAAGACAGTTCAGAATGCCAAGTAAAATATTTTATTCCATGGAGCCACTCAATCTTAGCGTTTTAGGAGGAGCAGGAGCACTTTTTATGTCTGTTGGCCAATGCAATAATTATTGTTGTTCTTGCAATTTACTAAGCAGACATATTGAATGTTGTCATTTATATATTTTTTTTTAAAAATGTCTGTACTTTTTCTTAGGCTATGATTAATAAAATTGTTTAGACATTTTATTTTAGGTGTATTTCTTTCATACTCGCATAAAAAATGCCTGCGAAATACACCTTTTTATGCATAAGACGGCATATGTGTAAAATTTGAATTTTAGATGTTCGATATCTAAATACATAAAAATTAAGTGGTATGTATGTAAATCTTGTATAATGCTTTATAAGTCAATCTATGTTCTCATTGTTAAAGGTAATTGGATGTATAAAATGAAAATTTTTTATAAATATTTTTAATTTATATTTAAATAATTATAAAAAAGACTGATGCTCTTTAGAAAAAAATTGAGAAAAAATCAATATTAAATGATGTGCATGAGCCGCTTATTTACATTTTGGTGCATATTTGCATACATACCACACAATTCTTATGTTTTTAGATATCTAGCACATATACATTCATAATTACATACATATCATTCAAATCCTAAACACCACATCCAAAATATCATAATCAGTATATATAAATATATGGGCTCCAGAATTTAACACACCAACCTCCCACAAAATGAAAGAATAAGTAAGAAAATTATCGTGCCTTTAGACTTTTTAGGTTTACCTCCACCTTTCTTAACAAAAGTCATATCTATAACATCTACTATTCTAATAGGGTTATTAGATGATCGACATTTAAGATCACAAAACAACAAAATATTTTTCCCACTAAGGCTGGTCGACTACATGAAACTTCTTTCTTCATTGAGTCCTATTAAGCGTCATATTTTCATTGAATTAACAGATTAAAATCATTTTTATACAGTCTTAACTCTACAACAGGCGAACTTAAATTTTGTAAGTCCACCGATTGGCAGGATTTACTAACTCCACGATTTAAAGCCAAAATAAGTGAAATTCACATTTACAGCATCCCGGGATATATTTTGTCTAAATTGACCGTCCGACAAAATTGCTAACACCTAAACTTTAGGATTTCACAAAAAAAGCTACACAACTTCTATATGCAATAAATTGCAAACACAAACTTTTTTGGGGCATTTAAACACATAGCACACAATTCTTATGTATTTATATATCTCACACCTATAATTTTATATTTAGACTCGTAGCACTCAAATATTTAATATCACATCAAAAGAGCACTAACAGCACCTAAACATAAATTATTTAAGGCGTTTTTATATATTAATTATCCAAAACTTTAAATAATTTTTTGATAACCTAAATTTAAAATTTATATTTCAATCACTAAAATTTTATTTATTTTTGAAACAAAAATAGTCAATTTGTTATATTTAAAGTGTTGGATGATTTATAAGTAGCTGAAATATTAAAATTTAAATTTAGATGATTAATTTATTATATTTAAATTTTTGGATGATTGATTTTACTTTAAATTAGCTCAAATTAGAGCTCCATGAGATACTTGGGCGATGTTTGGTAGCATATTAATAATAGGATTTAAGGACTAGTTTAGTTTAAATCCAACTAAACACAAAAAATCAAAAATTAAATCCAACGTTCCCTTAGAATAAATACTTGCATGAGTTTTGTCAGTATTTCTTTTCTTCTTCGATGTGAATCTGAATTTATTAAATCCAAGTTAGAGAGATCTTCACACAGTAAAAGATAAGGATTTGATAAATCTTTATTGCTTAAAATTATGATGGAGCCGCCAAAGAAGGGCTTAGGGTTAGGGTTGTCAAAACGGCTCTTTGTTCGCCAACAGCTCATGTTCAGTTCGTAAAGAAGCTCATGTTCAACCATCCTCCTAGAAAATTCAACTTGCGAACACGAACAAAAATTTGTTCGTTCGTGTTCGGCTCGTTTTGGCTCGAAATAATACTAATAAATTATATACATATATATCTTTGATGAGTAGTATTTTTAAAAAAAAATATTGACTACAAAGCTATAAAGATTTATAATCAATTAAAAATATTAATTAAGAAAATAGAATAAAAATTATTAAAGTAGATTCAAATGATGTTCTAAATCTTATCCTAATTCTTAACATCTTATGTCTACGTGATTAGGGTTATCAAGACGATTCTTTGTTCATGAACAACCCATATTTGACTCACTAAATAAACGAGCCGAACACGAATATATTTTTTTAGCCAGAGAGCCGAGCCTTAAATTAGGCCCCTACTTAGGAAAAAATATTACATCAGTACTACGCACGTAGAGGAACGTGCGTACCCAATGAAATCACGCCACGATATCCCGCGCGACGCAGAAAAAAAACGGCGCAGTAACACGGGGAATATTCCTCCCCGTGTTATTCATGTGTTATTGTGTGTTATTCATGTGTTATTGTATCCTGATTGTGTTATTATAACACCAGGAATATTCTCAGGATACAATAACACATGAATAACACACAATAACACAAGAATAACACGGGAGAGAATATTCCCCCGTGTTACTGCGCCGTTTTTTTCTCTGTCGGGAATATTTCCCGTGTTATTCAAGTGTTATTGTGTGTTATTCATGTGTTATTGTATCCTGAAAATATTCTTGGTGTTATAATAACGCAATAACACATCAATAACACATGAATAACACGCAATAACACATGAATAACGCGCAATAACACATGAATAACACAGGAGAGAATATTCCCCGTGTTACTGCGCCGTTTTTTTTGCTCTACCGTGCGAGATATTGTGGCGTGTTTTGATTGGCTACGCACGTTATTTTTACGTGGGTAGTACTGATGTAATATTTCTTCCCTACTTAGGGTTACATTCGGAGTACTTTTATCCGGTGGCTTGACTCAGCAGTCCGCTCTTATCTTCGACTAATAATCTCTGTCTCGGAGTCATCACCCCCAAAATCTGGGATCTCATCTCTCTCTCTCTCTCTCTCTCTCTCTCTCTCTCCTGGCAACGGTATGGCTTAGATTTCTCGCTCATCAGCTCCGGGAATCCGGCATAGGAGCTCTTTTACGGTGATCTTGAACCCCCTTTTGCTTATCAAGTTCCGTTCAACCTCCCAAAGCGGATCCACAAGAGTTTCCGGAACTAGCAGAACATCCGCATCACGCTCAAAGAGGTATTCTTTGTTCCTCTTTTTCCTTCGCCTCTTACCCTGCATGCGTTGATTTCTGTCGCAATGTACACAATTTTCTTGATTTTGGCTGCAAGTTCTTGATTTGTTTGAGTAGATTTTGAGAACGGGGTGAGCTAGCAGCCACTTGGTTCTTTTTTTCTGAGAAGAACATTAATGACAGTACTACCGATGTACTTGATTCATGGCATGTAGAATTTAACATAACGGTTTGTCTCTTGACTCTCATGGTAAGCCGGAGAACTAATGCGGTGTTTGGTAGCATATTAATAATAGGATTTACGGATGGATTTAACTTTAACTTTCACGTTATGTCTTTCTTTCATTGTGTTCCGTCTCTATTATGACATAAATCCTGATTTAATACATCTGATAAATAGATAGATTCAAAGGATTTATTCTACCGTTGACGAGCTCTATCTCCGTTGCAGGATTTATCACAATTACTTAATCCTATTTGACATAAATCCTGGTTGCAGCCAAACACCGCCTAAGTATTCTTTTGGTGAAATTTGTGATTTTATTGGAAGCTAGTGTAGCAATGGAAAAAAAGAAAGAAAATAGCTACCCCTGCATGTAGAGCTAAATTGGAGAAGAATGTTGTGAAATAAGTTGTGAATGGGATTTTGATTGTTTGGGCATGTGCAATGAAAAGTTTTGAAGTACCCGTTAGAGTGTGATCTTGAAGGGATCTAAAAGAGTCTGAAAGGAAAAGATATAGGCTAAAATAATTTTGATTAGAAATTTTTTTAATGGATCAAGGTAACTATGAATAAAGATAATTTGATGTAGTAATAAATAGCGAAGAAGAATGGAATGCCCCAATTCAACATTGAAATATGACCAATGATGCTGAACTTATATTTCAACTTTTCATCCATTGAATTTTGATTCGTGAATTGCACCCAAGGAATAGAGTATAAGTAAGAAGAGAGAGATGGAGAGATGAGTAAAAAGTAATGAAAAGTAATACAATGTGTCTTATGCATGAAATAATTTCCCTATTTATAGGAAGAGAGTATAATATGATGATGCTACATTTTTTTTCATATTTTAATGGGGTTGTGAAAGGTATTATTCGTATTTTACATGTATAAGTCTGTCACTCGACTGCTCTCTGGCTCAGTCGGCTGAGCTTGATTAGCTTCAGGTCAGCATGGCCGGTTCGGTCGGCTAGACTAGGTTGGCATTCCCGGCCTGTTGTTTTAGTCTGATTGTTGACTCTTGATAATTAATGAGACTTTCGCATGTCCTCTGTATGGTTGGAGAAGCTGAGAGATTAGATCTTCCCTTGGATTGATTTTTTTGTGGTGGTTGACTCGGAAGTCTCCTCTCATTTCTGATCAAATGGTTCATACTCGGATCATTTGGTCATCTTTCGTGGCTCAGTCAGCTTTGGCCTTGTTGGCTTTGGGTCAGTCGACTGCACTTGGTGAGATGAGTGGGTCTCATTTTCTCCTGTCTGTGGGTCCTCCCCCATCGTACTCTATTCTTTTCTCCATAGGATCAACACTGACACATTTTTATGTACATCATCAATCTTCTTCATTAAAAAATTAGTCATACTTTATTTATGAAAGATTTTCATACATATCACTCAATTCTTTTGTATTTAGATATCTAACACATAAATTTCAATTTTTACGTATATGTCACCTTACTGAAGCATTAAGGGGTGTATATCCATTTTTATAAGTTAAAATAGTTGTATTTTTTGTGGTTTGAAGGATTTGGGTGGTATGAATACAAAAACAAAGTAGGTGTTAGATTGTTAATACATCAGAATTGGGTGGTATGTATGTAAATGCCACTTTATTTGTTGCTCTTTTGTTGCATAATGATTGAGTCCTCTTTTTGAATCTGCTTTTAATCCTCTTATTTTTTTGTACATGGAGAAGAAGCTACTATTTGAATTTTCAAATTATTGTCTTTTGTGTGATCTGCTATAAAGTTTAAATATTGTTGAGCTTTTATTAGATTAAATCGTGTAGTCTTTTGTGTCCGGCGCAGAATCATTTTTTGTTCTGCCCTATAAACTTTGTGTTTCTGCAATGTCACTGGCCTTATTTTAATGGCTCACTTGATCTTCTACTCTACTCTTCCTTTCTTGCGTAAAGTTGCTTGTTTCTTTCATTTATATTAGGGTTTTGATTCTTACAATATAATGCATTCATTGCTTCTCAACAGTACTATGGTCAATGTTTCTGCATACTTACCATCTGTTGATGTTGGATGTAGAAAATTCCTTAATATCCAACCGCACAATTTTAAATCTTGATCAAAATACATGCAAATGCAATAGGATGAGCAATAAGCTGAATATGTTAGACCCGAAACTTACAATTGAATTCAATATATGAAATAATAATTTTTATGTTGTCATATCAAATGAAATAGTTTGTGATCAATAAAAAAAAATCATTTGGATATTAAATGTTAGAAAAATATAGTATAAATAATTAACCACCATTCAATATATGCAGGTAAGCCATTTTCTGTCTAGTTAGACAAAAGATTAATAGCACTTTTTTAGATATATTTTCGAAATATTACATGTGCCAAAATATGAAGATAGTCACCTCAAGTTCATTGGCTAATATCAGAATTAGAATAGCCACATGCATCCTTTGCAAGAATGTGGCCAACACTTAGCACATAAAGATTCAAAAGAAAATTGCCGTACAAGCTTTTGGGTAGGAAATATCACAAACCTTGCAAACTTGAAGATTAGCTAACCTTTTCATCATTTCTACATTTCAATATACATATATAGAATATAACCATTATTGTCAAAACTCGCATCCTCACAAAAATTTTCATTTGGTACTTCATGACCTAGTAGTTTATATAAATTAACATGTGTAACATTAATTTGCATGGATAACACTGATACTGAACAAAATTACTTTCAAAATGTGTATAGATACAAGTATAACGGGAGCATGTTTTAAGATAAAATTTTATGAAAAACACAAGATACAAATCTTTTATATCTTGGAGACTGAATACAATATAGGCAACATCAAATGATTTGATCACATAATATTTTGGCATAAATTATTAGGATTTGACAATCACTAATTTTTATTTAACATAGAGCACAAATTTATAGGATTATAAAATACATATGAAAAAATAGAAATGATTACATAAAAAATATAAATAATTAAAAAAAGCAAAATATCATAATATTATGCTTTAGATATTGTCAAAAAATCAATATATTTTAATTTTAATTAAATTTATATGATAAAATTGTGAGATAACACAACAATCAAAATCATTGATATCTGAATTAGGGTAATGGTAGACTACATCCCGCAAAATAAGCTTCCCATCTAGCTTGTCTCCTAAAATTAAATTTAAGATCTTCAAATCCTAGCTATATTTAAAAAAAAGTAAAACACATCATATTCATGATATTCAAATGTTGCTTTTTGAAATGCAAATTTTATATACTCTTATATGCATTTGATGCTCCAAAAATTACGAAAAAATAATTATAAAATATTGATTAGTCTAGAGCACACTAATGAAGATATATCACAAAATGGGCTTGGACGGTTCTAAAATGTCCAGTTTTACAAAATATATTACTTCTTAAGAAAGTCATTTCAAAGACGCAACATATGTGCACTTTAATATTTTGTACATAAAAGCTTGACAAAATGTACATAAATGAGTATTAAATATGTTGTAACCTAATGATTATGATTCTTAAATTATGTGGTACAATTTTGAAAGTCTATTTGTATGTGCTCGGGTCAATAATATCATATAACAATAATGTAATGCACCGGTCTACTTTGACAATCGTGTGTATGATCATCCAGAGAGTAAATATTTTGGAAAAAAAATAAAATTTACAGTGTGCATGTCATAGTATCACGTGGAGTAAACATGTATAATTGTAAAATTGATTCATAAAAAAACTCATGAATTACTAAAGGGAAGTTGATGTTACGGATAGGCTTAATCATAAAGCCTACAAGTTACAAACATTTGAAGGAGAAATCATCATAATGATATAGATTAATATTGATCTAAAAATCTTCTTCCCTTGAATAGATAGCCTCTAATAATGGAAATCACTTGTGCAATGCAATATGACGATCAGTTTATTATACATTGTTATTGACATAATTTTCTTATGAATTCGCTTATTTAAAACAACTTGTAGCAAGAAAATTATCTAAAATAAAAATTTTTGAACTGAACTTTCTAAGCCATGTGCTTATTTCAATTGTGTGTTGCCTTAGTAATTCTTACCCTAGGAATTATCTTATTTTCTCTCAAATGAGTATTTCTTACTATCTCGCAATTGCAAGGACTTCTCTATTATTGATTTGGATTTTGGAATTATAATGGTCACTCGTTATTTTGAGGATAAACTTACTTTCTCTTGGTGCATATAGCATACCTTAATATCTTTTGTGAGAATAAGGCTTTATTATAATTTCTTTGTATCTATATGCTTCTATTATCATGTTGGGGAATTATCTTGTTTTCTCCCTATAATTAGCATATGATCCCTTCATCATGGGATCTTACTCAGCTAGCAACTACTCTCCTTCAATCTTATTGAAGCCATTTTTTTTATAAAACCCTAAGGCATAATAACTTTCAATTCCCTCGAGCATATGGATACTGTTTTTTGAGCATACTAAGGTTATGAGAACACTCCAAGCATTGACCGCTTTGGTGTCTATAACCAAAGGCCGAGTTTTAACGTCCCCCTGGCTAGTGCACAATTCTCCCATGCTAGTACTGAAAACCAAATCCTACAATCTTAACAACCATAAGTGTAGGGAGCCCATGAACCGTTGCCTGGTGAATCAGGGACAATGTATGTCACCCCATTTTGTTAAGTGGCCAGTATGGTATAACTCTCCTTATAAGAACCCAAGTTGGAGGATTTACTCCATAGAGCACAAATGGTCATATTCGTTTATCCCAGTTTATCTATTTTAAGGATATTTGCAATTTTAGATTTTGATCTACTCTGGTTTTATTGTCTTGTATATGCTTTCATATCTCGCTTGACTATTATGTATATGATACGCCACCAACAAATTTTCATCATCCGGCACGAATCTTGAGGCATGACACGAATCTTGAGACGATATTTTAAGGATGAAATATTCAAATCTTGATAAAAAGTCATTCAGAGCTCTGATTTCAGCAAGCTTATAGTCAAACTGATCGGCTTGATGAGACAAACCTAATGATATGAAAATTAGCCCAATCTGAGTCAAATCAAGCCCAGATCAAGTCATTGAACCACACTTTAATGATTTTCGGACACATTTGAAAGATCAAAGGGTTGTCGAATATGAAAAGTTTATACTCGAATTGAGCGGCTCAACAAAACGAATCAAACAAGCCCAAGATCACTCAATTCTAACATCATTAAGACACTCAAATGTTCAGTAAATGTCGTATGATCAAGGGAAGTTGTCCAGATCGTCTGATCAAAATAATTCATATTCATTCATTAATTGCACTCAGAACACTATAAATAGAGCCTCATCCCTCTCATGAGGGGAGGCTGAAGTTTGGAGAGAGAGCCTGAGACCTTGAGGAGAAGCTGTAGTTTAGCATCACCGCCGATCGTCGTCGAATACCGCCGAACTCAGTCGTTGACGACCGCCAACCTCCGTCGTCGACCACCGTCAATCGCTGTTGACCATCGCCGACCGCCGAAGACCATCACCGATCGTCGTCAACCTTCGCCACCGTCGTCACCCTTCGCCAACTTTCATCGATCACCACCAACCAGACGCTGTCAGTCAACGCTGTATTATAAAAAATATAGTTACAATTTTCCGTCTGTGAGATAAGAGCTTTCTGTAATCATCAATCAATAGTGGATTTTCGCAACTGGGTCAGACCCCGTGGTTTTTCCTTTTACGGGATTTCCACGTAAAAACTCCTGGAGTAGTCACTGTTTTTTTTCTTTTTGATTTGAGTGTGTGCAGAATTCTCGTACAACGCTAAGACAATAATCAGTTACTCTACCGCCGCGAATTTTCTGGCACGCATCAGTATAACTACTAGATCACCTGATAAATTTATTCAACTATTTCCACGCTAAGTCTTTGATTTGTTCATTGTATGCACGCAATCCAAATGTCTTTTCTTTGGATAAACGGTATGAGACTCTATTTACTTAATTCTTTCCTATAATATTTTTTTTCGCCCATAAAGGCCATTTGATTCAATTGGCTGAACTTCATTAAGTTTGCAACAAGCCTTTCCTATCTATCGTTGACGCAGTCTGTCATTGAGGTCAACAACTTCTTATAGGCATCCTTGATCTGATTCCTCTTATTTTTCCCGGCCACTTCAACATGAGCCTTGATTTTATTGGCAGTGTTCACCGCCACGTTGTTAGCTGCTGCGTATCTGTTTGATATGATTGATAACATTATTTTACCGGTCTCATAAAACTTAGTGAAAGAGGTTTCTACTTTAGAAACTCATATGATTGGTCCTCAATACGATTGCCTCCGTTCATTGTGGGAAAGTTGCTCCTCGCTCGCAACACTCTTTGTTCCTT